AGCGACACCGAATGCCAGCTGACTGTGTAAGGGATTGTCTCCTGACGACGCCGCATAGACCCACATAGTTTATACGAGCGTGTTTGTGCAAGCTACTGTAATTTAGGAATAGGGTTGAGTTGAATGAACGTGGGCAGTGTTTTCAGAATAAACAAGCCAAGACAGGATCTGAGGTGTCCACGTTTGATTGTTATTGACGGAAATCTGGTAAGCTGTAATTCATCAATTCTCGTATCGTGAACATTGCCATGTAAGCATATAGTTGTTTGGAGAACAGTGGAAATTCTCGCGACTCTACATGATATTATGCATTTAATGCAGGTACACCCTCTGAAAAACGGTGCTGTTTAAAATATTCGAGGAACTTAAGGAAGAAGCCTACTCATAAATTAAAAAAAACAGAATTTATTCATTTTGTAATAAAATGTACTCCAAGGAAATATAAGGATATTGACCTAAAAATGTTGGGGGTCACCAGCCTTTTTTTCGAGAAATTGATCGTTGTATTTTAGTGGAAAGTCGCCATTTTGACACTATTATAACACTTTTACCACAGGTTCCTATGGGAGAGATATTATGCAATATCTCAAAATTTAGCCTGGTGACATAAGCTGAAAAAATCATATATTGTTAATGATGGAGTACTTGTTGTTGTTCTGAATTATTTAAAAAATCTGGGTTTTGAAAGGTGTCAAAAAATGCCATTTTTCTTTAACATTGTGTTCTATGGAATTGTTCTAAAAATAGCAATTTTCATGAAATATTAGGACACGTTTAATAACTGTAACACACAAACTAGTGCTATTTCATTGTACCATGAGACATTAGCTTCATGTTTGTACATAATAAACTAATGAACATTGTCATGCGATTTGTGACCAATTTTGTCAAAAATTATGACTAGGCTTCTACCTTAAAGTTGGTGGAAAAGTAGACGATGCAATAAACGTTGCGAATCTTGCTATACAGTTTTGCATTGTTAAAGATACATTTCAAGTATAACTGGTTTCCC